AATAAAAGGCTTGCAATATTTCAGTTGATTTGTAATGAATCCAGAATGTATGACATTTTTGTTTTTTTAATTGCATTACAGAAAATAAAGAACTTTATCACAATATTCTAATTTTCTGAGACAGTCCTGTATATCAGAAGGCTTTGTGTAACATGAATGGCATGTTTATCGGCTCGTGTGGTTATAAAGAAAGATATACATAAATACTAAACGTTTTGTACAGAAGGTGTATATAATACATTTAGTTATTTATCTTGTAGCTGTTGATAAATTATTAGCCTTGAACACCTCTGCCAAAATACATAAATGTACAGTTTGTGCTCATCAACCTCTTATAATGGTTGATGTCATGGTAAATAACCTGTCCTGCTTATGTTCTTTCTTTTCCCATTTAAGATTGATTTGCCTTTGATGCCTGACCTTCCCACAGGTAAACACATAGCTAGTTAGTGAGTAGGGTGACAACTCATGTTCAATGCAGTACAAAGCCTGGAGGGCTGACATTTTTTACAGTGCTGTACAATTTCATTCTAACATGTAATACTACGAGTCAACTGTTAATGGAAAGGAGAATACAACAAATATTTATGTAACCTTGATAATTTTCCTATGAAATGTTATATATTATTGAATAGATAACCATAACAATAATTTCTATCGATCTGTTCATTGTCACTCTTCATTACCTAATCTATAGGCACATGATAAATACTAATGTACACGGTATTGACTGAACTCCATAGATTCCACATAACTTTCATGACATGTACACAAGCACACTGCTCTGTACACAATATAAAGTAAATATTTTTCCTCTGACACACTGCCATCACGATTTGTGCAGCTTTTATCCCCCTCATATATTACTCTTTGCTTTTATTTCACAGATCATAAGAGCAGCATTCTCTCTTTTCTGTGCAAAAAGGACTTTGGTAGTTTTAACCAGTCTGTGAAAAGAGAGCATGTGAAGACACAGTTTTCAGGTGAAAAGAGCCTCCTCCACTACACCGTAGCCAGCGGAGATGCAGAGAGTGTCGAGCATGTCCTGAGTCTGGGGGCTGAAGTCAACTGTACGACTGCCAGAGGTTACACTCCTCTCATTGTTGCTGTTCTGCACAGGTCTGTATGAAATATACTTTAAAAAATACAGTTTATAAGCGACTCAATGAAAAGTAATGTGTGCTAGCAACTGTGTATTCTTAACAGGTTGGCAGTTCTAAGGATAACCTAAAAGAACTCTATTAAAGTTAAAGGGATAGGTTAACATTTTGGGAATGTCACACACAAAAAACCCTCATATTTGCTTTTTCACAGAGAGAAATTAGATGTTTAGAATAAATACTGGAGTCTCTGCTCACAGGGGTGACAAGCATCAGTAAAATGAAAACCTTTAAATGCATCTTTTTCTACAGGCTTCATGACATCATCTCTTTGTTGCTGGAAAATGGTGCGTCTGCCACCCAAGGGGCTGAGGATGATTGGACAGCACTCCATTTCGCTGCTCAGAATGGCGATGACAGGACTGTCCGTCTTCTGTTGGACAAAGGAGCTTTGGCGGATGCCCGGGAAAAAGCTGGTTGGGTGCCCCTCCACCTGGCCTCCCAGAATGGCCATGAGACAGTGGTGCGCCTGCTGCTTTCACGGCTGCCAGAGAAGGCAGTCAGAGAACGGGAGGCACAAGGGAGGACTCCGCTCCACCTCGCCTCCGCCTATGGGCATCTTAATATTGCCAAGCTTCTCCTCTCTAAGGGAGCAGATCCCAACGCTACGGACTGCTCTCTCTCCACCGCTCTTCACTTATCAGCTGAGGAAGGCCACAACAGAGTAGTGAGACAGTTGATGAAGAGTGGGGTGAATATAGGCAGTGCAGACAGCAGAGGATACACTCCACTTCACCTGGCTGCTCTGAAGGGTCACACAGGCATTTGCAGGCAGCTGTTGTCAAATGGGAGATGCCCAAACTCCAGGTCCCTCCTAGGCTGGACTCCCCTGCACCTGGCTGCCCTTAAGGGACACGAAGCCACAGTGGTGCAGCTGGAGAGTCAGGGTGGTTGTGTGAACGCTGGAGGGGAGAACGGCTGGACCCCACTCCACCTTGCATGCTATCAGGGTGGGCCGGAAGTGGTGGCAAAGCTCCTGGAAGCCAAAGCCGACCCAAACGTGTCCGAGGACAGTAAAGGATGGACACCACTACATGTAGCTTGTACCAATGCCAGTTTACAAAGTGTCCTCCACTTGATATCACATCATGCAGATGTCAATGCGTTAAACTCAAGAAAGGCAACACCTTTACACCTCGCTGCACAGCATGACTGTAAACCTATTGTAAATGCTCTGCTGCTTAATTCAGCCGACAGGACTCTTCTGGACTCTTCTGGATCCACAGCTCTGAATGTGGCTCAGAGGTGTGAACATTTGGAAATAGTACAACTACTGATGAAGTAGTTCCGGTGAAAGCATTATGAATGGAATTGGAATACAACAATAATGGCACATGTGGAGTATTGTCTTCCTTAAGTATTTTATAATAAAAAAACACAAAATAATCCACCTTTTGCTCTACAAACAAATTGCATTTTATTACAACTGCATACCACGCAAGTTCTTAAAATGTTCTGATGCCCAATTCATTTTTATATACAAATGAATAACACATAAAATGTAGGAACACTTAAGTGGAACATGGGGTCATCCTTAGGTGAAATGCACCCAGTAAAGGCAACACATTGATTATTCCTCTCTGAAGCACCTTGCCTGCTTATGCTTCCCTGTGGATGCAATTAAAGCTGCTGCTACATATTGATGAAATGAGAATATAAAAGAGCCGAGTTTGTAATGACTTACTGAGGTAATAATTTAATTAAACCTGACTCAATGTGTCTAATAACAACACTACTAACTAGTAGATCACTGTCACTGAGACATGCAACATAACTATACATCATTAAACTCTGCCATCTAATCTACAGTATAATACATTAAGGAGCAGTATTGACCTGTGCATTCACAGGGTTTTCACTGAGACCACAAGAGACTGACTCAGATGAAAGGGTGGTGGGTGAGCTGAAATCGAATTACAGTAAATAAATAAGTACTTATTTTACTTTTGCTTTCTAAGTTATTGTCTGCTCTTTTTCTTTTAAAGGATTGCATTGTTGAAAAATGTATACTTTTTTCAATTTTTTTCCATCCCTGAATAATTTTTGATCTTTGTATGGCAACACTAAACCATCTATCGGTCCACTTATAGTCCAAAGAATAGATTAATTGGACAAGGCGTACTGTGCATGTTTGAGGGTTTAAGGCTCACTAAAATGTCCCTTGCCTATTGCTGCCCAGCAGACCAGTGCACAGTGAAAAACAAATCACTGCACAATAGTGTACAAATACAGACGCATACCAATTTATAACCTGTAATAAAACCAACTAACTGAGACTAAACTGGAAATGGCTACTTCGTAATATACATGCTATTTATTGAATGGACTAAAAACACAAAAGTCGAAGATTTTTCTCAATAGCACTTGTGTTTTTCTTTAGGTTTGTTGGTTTATTTTCCTGTTTCTCAGCTTGTTGGAGCTCTTTTTTGTCAGACGGCCCTTCTAGTTCTCTCTAGCTTCATTTTCTGGCCACAATAATTTCCTACTCGCGTTCAATTTATTTCTGAATCATATTAGGACAGCTATCCGGAGGCTTCTCTCATTCGTGCAGAGTTATATAAGCAAAATCCTGATTTACAATGTCACATGCCTTGTATCAGAGCCTGACGAGGTAAAGTAACTGCTGACCCTGCTCTCGCTGTATTTTATCCACTAGAGTTTGAAAAGCAGCTATCACATTACGAGAGTAGACTCCCGGGAGAGGGCCGTGGATTTCAGATTGGGTGCCATGATTTATAGTCTAAAGTGTACTTTTTATTGCATCAACTCCCATTTGAGATTTATGAGGCCTTTCGTATCTCACAAATTGGAAGCAAAGCACATTTGTGTGATTGTTATCAACAGTAAACCGTCTGGTGACAGTTTAACAGATGGGAATGACACACATCTGCGGAATCCACGTAGCTGTGTCATTGTCTAACCTGACTAACAGCATTTTTGTCCTTCTATCATTTAAACGAAACAAACATTTGTGTTCAACTACACTATTGTTCTACTGACAGTTCCTGAAAAATGTAACTCACTTTTCCAACCACATCTAATCAGGCCCTAACTAAATCAATGGTGCTGCCCCAACCTGTTCACACATACGGTGACACATCGGATGCCTTCTATCAGCCAGTAATTGTGTTTGCAGGCACTAAACTAATTATATTTTCTAATAGGGGGACAAACAGGAAGAAGATAATGTAATGTAAGTTGCTAGTTCCAAAAACACCACCTAAAGAAAGGCAGAAGAGTTGTTCTCTTTTCTTTAATAACTGGGTTTATGAAACCTATAAATTCACACAAAATTACAACAACACCTTAAATATGTTTTTTTCCCCACCGTATCCTTTGTTATGTGCTCTTGCTTATTGCTAGTGCAACGCAATCATACCAACTTGTATAATTGTTTTGAATGGCACAGTAATTGATTTAACTGACAGGTTCATAACGAGTATAAATGCAGCTCACCATAGCTTATTTTTACCCACACATATTAAAGATGTTCTGCTGCATTAATAAGCTATAAAGACCTTGTTGTAAAGCTCATCTCTAGCAGTGGAAATACATAATAGGGTTCTCAACAACTTACGCAATCAAATTAATTGGATATCTGCATGCTACAGATGAAATGTTAGATCTTCTTTTCTGACATAAATCACAATACAATCTTCCGTCCTGTCTAAGAGTTTAAGAGACCAGTTTGCATAAAGACTTTAAAATGTTATTTTGTTGCGGTGGTAAAAGGGTTGCCTGACACACACAGCTTTTATCTTAATCGTAGGATGTAATCTGGCTTCAGTATATTTAGCTTCTCTGAGGAGAGCCATTACATGCTTTCTCCAGAGCCCCTCTTAACTGGCAGGGTTAATCTAGCCATTGAGTGGTATCCTGCGGTGTTAAGCAGCTACAATCATGACTTATGCAGCTGTGTCTTTTAATCCAGGTGTGCCACCTCATCAGGGCCAGGACTCTGCAGCCTCCCCTGGTCCTTGCCATGGTAAATGATTGAGTGATCTATCATCTCTCCTGAGAGAGGAATTTTTGTGACAGTGATGATATGGAAAACATTTTTTTGCCCTTGTCATCTCTTAGCGACCTCTCACTCGAAGATGACAGTGGAAAAACACCCAGGTCGGTCTTTTACAATTCCCCAAGGTTGTTGCCTGCTGTAAGGGACAAGTGCTATTTCTCACCTTGGTGAAGTCCTATTCAGGATACTGGGTTGAAGCTTTTATTCTCTCATAAAGTAACCGCCTTACAAAAGATTTTCTTTAACTATTGACTGGATGATTTTAAATTATAATGTATTCCTTTACTGCAGAGTGCACTCTCAAAGCAATTGACCCTTTTTGCAATTGAAAGGCCTTGTTTTCTTCATTGCATTCTTATCATGCCCTCAGATCCCTTGCTTGGTGTCATTTTGTTCCTGTATAATTATTAATGAAGGATCTGTTATGGACCGAGACACAGGACGTAGGACCCAAAAGCAGGACTCGAAGACAGTTGTCCAAAAATAGAATGTTCTTTAATAACAAAAACTAAATCGTACTTTCAAAAAATAGAAAGTAGTTAAATAGCCAAAACTAAGTTGTACAGCAACACAAAAACTCACTTGGCAAAAGGTCTAAATCTCAAGGTAGGTATCAGGAGTCAAAAGGCCCAGGTTCTCACGACATGAAACATAACGAACTGACAAAGGAACAAAGAAACACCAGGGCTATATATAGGTGAGGGGGATGGGCACAGGTGAAAACTATCAGGGCAGGGCCAAGCAATCTCACGGGCTGGAAACACACAAAGGCAGGAAATGTGGGATCATATCTGTCGAGTCACCACATAACCCCCCCTCTAGGGACGTCTCCTGACGGCCCAGGCAGATTAGGATGTTGCCTGTAGAAATCCCTGATCAACTTCTGATCTACAACGTTGCGAGAAGGGATCCACATCCTATCCTCTGCTCCATAGCCTTTCCAGTGAACGAGGAACTGCCTGCCACGTCCCATTCTCCGGACTGACAGCAGTTTCTTGACCGTATAAACAAGGCCACCATCAACAACTCTGGGGGGTGGCGGAGGTTTAGTTGCGGGCACCAAACTGCTTTCCTTGACAGGCTTGATCTTCCCAACGTGGAATGTAGGGTGGACCCGCAGGGACCTGGGGAGTCGCAGGCGCACAGACACAGGGTTCACAATCTTCGTTATTGGAAAGGGACCAACAAACCTGGGGGCTAATTTTCTTGAAGCGACATGGAGGGGTAGATCTTTCGTGGACAACCAAACCTTCTACCCAGGCTGGTACACTGGAGCTGGCCGGCGGTGTCGGTCAGCCACCCTTTTCATTGAAGAAGAACTCCTTAGAAGGGTTGACGGGCAGCCGCCCAGATGCGGTGGCAACGTCTGACCAGGGCATGTGCAGAAGGGACCAAGACCTCCTTTTCAGTCTCAGCAAACACGGGTGGTTGGTAGCCAAAGACGCACTGGAAGGGAGTCAGACCTGTGGCAGAGGTAGGAAGAGAATTGTGGGCGTATTCCACCCAGGTTAGATGCTTGCTCCACGATGAGGGATTCTGAGCCACCAAGCACGTCAGACATGTCTCCAACACTTGATTTAATCTCTCCGTTTGTCCGTTGGACTGGGGGTGATACCCAGAGGAGAGGCTAGCGGTGGCTCCAATGAGACTGCAGAACTCTTTCCAGAACTTGGAAACAAACTGTGGGCCCCGGTCTGACACAATATCCCTGGGAAATCCATGTATCCGGAACACATTGATCATCATAATTTCTGCCGTTTCCTTGGCCGAGGGTAGCTTGGTCAATGGAATAAAATGAGTCATTTTAGAAAAACGATCTACCACTGTTAGCACAGTGGTATTACCTTGAGACACCGGGAGTCCAGTAACAAAGTCCATGGATATGTCAGACCAGGGCCGTTGAGGAATGGGCAACGGCTGCAGCATCCCCGCCTGAGACCTGGAAGAAGTTTTGCTGCGAGCACAAACAGGACAGGCATTCACATATTCACCAACATCTTTAGCCATGGACGGCCACCAGAAACGCTGCTTAAGTGCGAACATGGTTCCTCTAACCCCAGGATGACAAGTGAGCAAGGACGTGTGAGCCCAGTGAATGATCTTGGAGCGCAAGGGCACTGTAACAAACAGCCTATTAGGCGGACACTCACTAGGTGCTGGGCTCTCAACATTTGCTTGCTGCACCTCTTTTTCTATCTGCCAAGTTACCGCTCCTACCACACGGTTCAGTGGTAGGATGGGTTCTGGTTCCTTGGCAGCAGGCTCAGGGTCAAACAGATGGGACAAGGCATCTGGTTTGGTGTTCTGGGAGCAAGGTCTAAATGACAAGGTAAAATCAAAACGACTGAAAAAAAGTGTCCATCTAGCCTGGCGTGAATTCAGTCTCTTAGCCTTTTTTATGTATTTGAGGTTCTTATGGTCTGTCCATACCAGGAACGGCTGAGCGGCCCCCTCTAGCCAATGTCTCCAC